AAGCACTATTGGGAGGCAGTAGAAGATGCAGGAGGTGGGGTCCAATGGGAGGTCTCCACGGTTACTGATCCCCAAAAAGAGCTCCTAGAACCCCAGCCCCTTCCTCTCTCATTGCTTCCTGACCAACAGATGGGCATGTACTCCTGTATCACATCTGGAAGCCCACCAGAGCCCTAAAAAGCAGCAGGCCTACCTCATCATGCACTTCTTCTACAGCTGAGGCAAAACAAACCAGTTCTTTTTATAAAGCACCTCAGGGGTTTGTTTCAACACAAGGATGATAAAGGAAGAGTGTAACAACCGTCCTCAAACACGAGCTACAATCAATAGTACACTGTATCACCGCAGTTGGTGGGTTTCCACATAACACACGCCTATGTCTAGAAGTCACATCAAGAAATACTATTATAGTTGGCATAACCACGGTAAGTCTGAGCAGATGGCCCCTTACTTTTGGGGTTCAATAGCATGTTTTTGCTGTTTTGTTTCTTACTTACAACTACAAAATGATTATTTGTATTTGCATTTGCATTCAGCAGAAGCCCTGTTCTGAATTTTGACCTTTGCTGGCCCAGTAGTAGGTGTTATGCTCTTCTTCCAACCCAGAAGTTCCCAGGCCACAGCCACCTGAAGTGGACACTCAGCAGTGCTGTGTCGTTAGGATGAGCCTAATCGATACATTTCATTTCCAGTTTACTTTATTTTGTTTCAGTTATCATTAAGACACAGTAAATTTCACTGAGCGACACTACAAAACAAACAAACAAAACCGTCCTGTACTTTTAGGAACTCTGCCCTATACATTCCCGAACATTAGCAACTAAGCCAAAAAGGTTAGCCCTACCCCCCCCAAGAAAGTTTAATACTGAAAACTAAATACTACTAACTAGGAGGAGATGGGATTAGAATTATTTTACTCATACCATTTTGAAAGTAAATATTTAAACAAACTCAGAAGCAATTTCAAAGGGCCTGAACTCAACATGTTAATAAAATAGTTAAACAAAAAAAAAAAATTATTGTATGAAGTCTTGGGGTATAATGCTGTTTGTAATTTATTTACATCTTTTAAACTTCACTAAATTGTCTTGGTGACCACAATTCTCATTTAAGTGATTAAACACACAAACTCCAATCGCTGAATAAAGCAATTACTTAGCAATCCTGTTTTTCAACAGAGATGCATTGAAAAATATCAATAGAATGTTTACGGCCCATTCTTTTCCAGGGAGTACGTTATTTTAGAAAACAGTGCCCCATTGAGTAGAAGGAGGACAAGTTTCCAGACACACAATACAGAGTAAACACTGGATTAGAGACCTTTCCTCTTCTAAGAATATCAGGTGAAATACTGGAAGCCTCTTGGCTAAAATCTCAGGTGATAATTTTTTCTCGCATTTCTCCTTACCATTCCTCCTTCCCAGTGGCATGCCAAGAGTTTGGCTTGCCACTCCCCAAAACATATGAATAGTTCTTAAGTGCCAAAATTCCTAAGGCTCTCCAGTCCCAGATGCACTCTTCACCAATTGCTTAACTGCACTGGTGCAGTTACCAAAACGACTTCGAAGCAGCTTCCTGACCTAAATACAGAACGTGTTTCAGAGTCTGGTAAAGGGCTAAGGTTGGCTAGGGAAGGGAGGGAGGAGAGTAAGTCAGTCAATAAAAGTTTCCTTTCATTCTTTTCAAGCACCTTCCGGTTTTGCCTGTCACACTTCCCTCTATCAAGTCAGTCCTCAGATACATGATACTCCACAGCTGAGCTTCCCCAAGTCCTGTTCTTCCAATGTATCAAGCTATGCAACACTGATGTTTTAATTATATGACAAAACCAAGCATCTATGAGGCTATATTGCATATGGAAAGCCTTCCACAGGTGGACCAACAGAGCATCTTTTCTCTCAAGGAGATCTCCAACTTCCAGATGAATTATTTCTGACAACTTCGGTATGGATGGGAACACACTCCTATTTCTAACCCATCTCTCTTTAAAACGATCAACAAGGTAAGGGTTTGCACTAGTAAAAAAGTGAGCACTAGTAAAAAAGTTAACAGGCTGACACTTGAGAGTGTTCTCCGCTGTTTGGCAGGTTTCTCTGTCCGCTTCTCCTGAGGTCAGGTGGGGGAAAGACATGTAGAGCTTCCAGATTTTCAAATGGAGCTTTCAGCTTATAGGGTTAGTAGCAACCGCCCACTTTCTCACTGGGCCAAGAATCCTCTAGTCCTCTGGTTGGTTGGTTTCTATATTCCACACTGCTGGCACAGGATCAGGGAACCCTAACAGTCCATTTACTTGGCCAAACCACAGGCTGTCAAAGTAGACCGTTTGTCTCTTCCAGACTAGTTTGGTGATTCCCCGCCCCCTTTGCACACACACACACACACACACACACACACACACACACACACACACACACACACACACACCTGGTAAGAGGTTTCATTGTTCTTCTTCTAACTAAATCAGCCCAGCACACCATTTCCCCCTCTTGAACTTCTACTGCAGGCCTGTGACATCACTTTCTGACCAGCCTTGCTAGGCTCTAATGGCCTCTGCATGTGTAATTTCCCTTGGCACTTCAAACTCTCTTCTTGAAAGGAACTGAGAGATCTCATAAAAGTCGCTTTGCCTACACAATAAACTGGTAGTGCCTTTCCTCCAGCAGAGCATAGGTACAACTGACAGTTTTGACAAATTCTGACGATGAAGGCACATGACAGGCAGCTGCACCGCCACCAGAGAAGGGACAAGATCAAAGGAGGGCATGCCCAGTTCCCGATAAAAACTGTCCTTTAGAATAGGTACTTCTGGAGACACTTAAATGAATGTTCTTGTAAAATCACAGTCCATCTTCCACGGGTTTGGCAAATATGTAATCTATACACATGCCCCACATACGACACCGCCATCAAGCAAAAGGAAAATGGAAAACCATCAAAAATAGTACCAGGTACCATTCTTGGGGCTTGTCCAAAGATAGCCCATGGAAGAGTCTATTTTATTCTCCTCCCTCACCCATTAAATAATCATCACCAGAGACAGACAGCATTTGGATTTGGACAGATGGCATCCAACACCTCAGAAGCAAAGCAACCCTTTCAACTATTGCATCCTTCCTGTATTTACTGCTAGTCCCAAGGAGATGTAGACCTTATTTGCCTACAGGATTGGCATGCAGGATCCCCTGTAGTCACCACCCCAATATTTAGAAATACACATCATTATCCAGTAAGCAAAAGAAATCAAACCACATTTTAAAGCACTCCTCCCTCGCTAATGCAAACTAAGAAAATCAAATCCAACCCACCTGCAACCCCTCCCTTTAAAAAGAAAGGTGAGGATAAACAAATGTATAAAGGTTAACCACTTATCTCATTTTGACAAGGCTGTGCAAACCCAAAGAATCTGCCCCGAGAGGAAGAGGGAATTCAATATGCCTGTTCTGCAGTTAAGCCTACAACTGGAATTAAAAGCGCTAGCCTGTCAACTTTTTCCCTTCAGTAGAAGGCAACAGCCCTATTTCAAGAAAGTAGGGAGGTAAATAAAGGCAGGCGCCTCGGTGTTTCCCTTTACAAGGCCCACCTCGATCAGTCTTTTGCACAACAGCTCCTTCTCACAGCTCATGAAACACCCCTAAACTCTAGAGACGGGGTACACGCAAGGGAATAACTGAGCCTGCAGTCAGGGTGACAACACTACCTGGCCGAGAAGGTGAGACCTGATCCCAAGACTCAGAGCCCCCCGGGGGTAGTTGGGGGGCCGGAGAGAGACAAGCCCTACAGACAGCATCTCGCCCCCGCAGACCCACGAGCAAGGTCAGCCACGGGGAGCGCAGCGTAAAGGACGGCAAAGGAGAGGGCAACGATCGCAGATCGGTCTGAAAAAGAATGCCCTTGGAAGTTGGGGCAGGGAAGTCCTGGATGGAGGCATGGGCTGCCTCCTCGGCAAAGGAGTGCCAGGGCATGGGGAAGGGCGCAGCCGGCAGGCAGACACCAACCCCCGGCTGCTAGCGGCGCGTCTCACCTGGGGGGTCCTCTCGGCGGGGTTCTTCATCACCGCTTGGCGGAAGCTATTATCCACGTAGGACGCCATCTCCCCCTGCGGGGCGCACCGGGACCGCTCCACACACTCGCCGGCCTCCCGGCCCAGCGCCACTGCCCGAGGTGAAGCAGCCCAGGCGCGGGGCCGGGGCGCAGACAGCACGAGGGTCCGTGCAGCCCCGAGCTGCTCTCCTCCTGGCCGCCCGCTGGCCGTGGAGCCGGACTCGGCGACTGGCCAGCTGCGCTGGGGGACCGTCGCCGTCCGTCCGCGCTGGCCCCGGCGGGCCGAGTTATTTTTAGGGAGGTGCAAGCGACGGCGGGCGGGGCCTCCCCGGCGGGGTCCTAGCTCGACGCGCTCCGGCCGCGCTCGCTCTGACGCGTCCCGGGTCTGGCGCGCCGCTCGAGAGGGCCGCGCGCTGAGCCTGGAGAGCCCGGCTCAGGTCTGGGCGGCCCCGAGCCCGCTGCTCTCGGCCACCGTGGCCGCGCCGCGCCTCCGTCTACTGTCGGCCGCGCCTCCCGACTGCTGCTGCATCCCCGCGGGCCGCGCAGCTCCGGCCGGCCGCCCCCATCGGCGCCCGAGCGCGGCTGCTCCCCGCGCGCGGCCCCCGCGCTCTTGGCAACTTTGTGCGGCGTCCGTGCAGCCGGAGGGCGGGCGGGCACGGCGGGCCGGGCGCGGGTCCCCGGCGGGCGCGAGGCCGAGAGCGGAGCGCGCAGCCCCGCCGAGCGTCTGGCGAGCCGCGACCGCCTCTTCTTCCCCGCCTCTTCCTTCTCCAGCGCCTCAGCGGCCGCCCGAGCCGCTCTTCAGGGAGGAAGCGGCCTCCGGGGCTTGTTGCTTTGTGCTGCAACCATGGTGAGCAGTGAGTGACGGGCCGGAGGCCAGTCGGAGGCCGCCGCATCATCGGGGGCGGAGCGCCCCGTGGCGCCGGCCCGCCTCCTCGCTGGCCTGGCGGGGCCGCGCCCTCGCTGCCAGCCGCGCTCGGCCGCCCCCGGGTGCGATGGGCGCCGGGGCGATCGAGGCTGCAGCGGCCGCCGGTGCTGTCGCTGAGCAGCCGCAGCCCCGCCGCTCTAGCCTGGAACCCGCAGCCCTGGGCCCGCCGCACCCTGCCCACCCTCTGCGCGGCCCCTCTCCAGCCCCGCCCGGGGCTGGAAGCTGACCCCACCCGGGAGAGGTCCCCGTGGCGACTCTGCTGCGGCGGCGGGGGTTCCGAAGCCTAAGACTGACTGGGGTTTTGCTTCAGTGGCGATGAACCCTCCTCCATGGGTTGTGTTTGTTTGTTATGACTGCAAGGACAGGATTGCCCTCCCGCCTTCTCACCGACGCCTAAGCCCTTAGGTGACCCCTGCGGTAGGTAGACGGGAAAGCCGCTTTCCAACCCCAGCCCCGGTGCCACCTCGGACAGACGAACACCAGGTTAGCCCGAGAGACCACGACGGCAAGTTCTCTGACATAATCAGGAACGTCTATTGCGAGATTGGACTTTGCCTCCCACTGGGCAGAGCACCTTTTGAGGATCGTGAGTTTCCAATCCGGACTTGCCTAGTACAAAGCCCATATTAGTGTGTTACGATGTCCCTACTCTTGCGGGTTCACCCCTCCCTGACCAGGCCTGAGGTATGCAGCGTCAGCCTCTAAGTAGATTGCTGTGTTTTGAAATCTACATGGAGGCTAAAGACGATTGTTATTTTTACTTGGGAGCTACCACACTGAACGTAAAAAAAAAAAAAAAAAATCAAGCATGCTTTATCAACACCCGGTTTATTGTAATCAACTAGGACAAGCTGTCAGCTACTATTGGGGGATCCTTAAGTCGCATACACTGCCCTAAACAAGTTAGTTGCATAGCTTCTTCTTTTTTTTTTTTTTTTTTTTTTTCGAGACAGGGTTTCTCTGTATTGTTTTGGAGGCTGTCCTGGAACTCGCTTGGTAGACCAGGTTGGCCTCAAACTCACTGAGATCTACCTGCCTCTGCCTCCCGAGTGCTGGGATTAAAGGCATGTGCCACCATCGCCCAGCTAGTTGCATAGCTTCTTAAAGGAAAGACCTGCCCAACCCAAACTTAGAAAACAGAGTCTAAGTTACAAAGTGTATCTAACAGATAGATCCTTTTGTATTCCTTTTGCTGTAGCTGCTTCCTACTTTGTCTGTAGTCGTGGAGGTTCAACATGCATTCTCCAGCATAGACGGCCACTTCAAAAGCAAGGAAACGGAAGAAGATAATCCAAACCCAATAATGTGAAAAAAACATATACCCGACATCCCCACCTGGAGTCTAGTCGCCATTTCAGAGTGGGCGTGGCCAAAACTGGTTCCATTTCTCTTTCCCCAAACATACTCCATTCATAGCCTTCGCCATCCCAATTAATAACACAGTATTATCACCATCCAGGTCTGGGGCACCCTAGGATCTCCTTAGTTTCTTTCTCATCTATGCAACAAACCTGCTGGCTGGACTTTCAAAGTGCTGATCGATATGTATCCCGGTTTCTACCACATTTCCCCATGATCCTGGCCCAAAGCAATATTATCCTCTAACGGCACTTTGCAAAAGTCACATCCCTGGTACCTGCTTTGTTTTGCCTTTCCTCCCAGGAGCCCATTTTCATTACAACAGCCAGACGGATTCTTCTCGTGCCCACTTGAGTCACTTCTTAGCGTCTGTGGCATTCACCCCAAAAACCTAGACCTCTGTGAGCCTGGATGACCCCTGACCCTAGCCCCCTGTCCTGACCTCTCTCTGACCTTGTCAAACGTCTGTGTTCCCCACCCGTCTCCTCAGTCCAGAGAAATAAGCAAATGCTGGTCTCCTGGCCTCTTCCTGCCGCTTTCCTTCTCTGTTCTCTGCCTTGCCATTCCGCCCACGCCACCCAAGAAAAAGAAAACACCGGGGCAGCTGGAATGCTGCTTCTCACCTCCTCCAGTCTTCTCTCAGACATCTTTACTCAGATGTCTTTTTCCTCAGAGTTGGACTGCCTATCCTCCTGGCTTCCTTCACCGCCTCAAGACCTACATATTATGTCTTATTTGTTGTTGACTCCCTCCACTGTAATGTCAGCTGTGAAAGTCAGTAACTTTTATTTATTTTGTTGACTGCTATATCCTTACTATGTCAACTGGTATTATTGGATGGACACATGAATTAGTAACTCAAGCGCCTTATATTTGTATTATATATATAATGTACTATATATATATACATATACATATATAATCTCACCTGTATTGTGGGAAGTGGAGGCCTCAAGAGGGAACAAGCCCCCCCCCCGACTGTTTCCTGTTCTACGAAAAGAAAGCATTTGCAAACCCTGAAGATTTACGAGTATCAACTACAGCGCATGCGAAGCCTCTTGCATAGTGTTTGAGCCATCGTCTGAAGTCCACAGACAGCTGTTATTTCTAAGGTCGTTCTCATCGTCTCCACCTTTTGAGGTTTGTGGACAGTTATTATCATCCTGTTTACAGATGGGGAAACTGGCAATAGGATGGGCTGTGTGTGTTGCCCTACTTCCTGGCCTGCCCTTAGCTTTGGAGTGATCTGGGGCAAGCTAACAGCAAGTGACCCTTAGACCCCATCGTAAGCCCTGGGAGCTAGAAGCGAAGCAGGTAGTCTGCTGTAGGGAGTGTGGACTGCTGGGCTACACACCGCATTCCTCTTCAACCTGCCTCTGCTGCGTCCCATCCCACACAAGGACTCACATTTGAGAGCAGCCAAGTGTGGAGTTAAACCGTACCACGCCCCTCACAAAAGTCACCCACAGCCTCTCCCCAAGACACTTTGTAGTTATGGTTGGTAAGGCCAGAAAGTAGCAAGGCAGGAAGGTCTGGGGTTGTGGAGTTCAGATTTTGTGAAATTGCTTGTCTGTGGAAAAGGATGGAATTTACAGAGGGACCTGCAAAGTATGGGCTCGGGCCAGGAACATCCTCAGCCGTATCTCAGCCAGAAAATTGTGAGTTCCAGCTTCAAAGCCCTCTTGTCTTCCCTCCCCTCCCCCCTATATCTCTCTGTCTTCCCCTCCCCTCCTCCCCCCCCTTCTCTCAACACCCCACTGTGATACTGAACTATACCAGTGACCTTAGGTATGGCCTAATAGTATGCCTTGTGCACCAACAAAATGACTAACTCAGGTTCAACTTCTAAGCTATCATTTGACATCAATTAAAGCTAATATCCTCGCTATTTATAATCTGTGTATCTACATATGTCAACAAAGCTATTGCCACTCACAATCCAGGACACCGGATACTTGCCGTGCAGTCTGTTTTAACATCTGAGCATCAAGACTGTACTGGGTGTAACTCTGTAAAGAGACAGAATCAAGCACAGGTCTGACAATGTGCCAGCTAGTACTCCTAAACCAAACAACCCCAAATCAAAGGAAGTCATCTCTTATGCTGCCGCAGAATGGCAGGTATAAAAAAGGGACTTTCTGTCCTCTGTTCGTTCATCCATCTAGAAAATCTGATAATAAGTAGAAGGACAGGTCCAGAGATATATTTCAAGATCTGGCCTTAAGATAGTTTCTACTTATAGCTTTTTCTAATACATCCCTAGGCATTTTGTATAGATTAGGTGTTCTGAGTCAGGGTTTTCTGTGTGTGTGTGTGTGTGTGTGTGTGTGTGTGTGTGTGTGTGTGTGTTAAACTCCTGTGAGTCTGGATATATACAACAGAAGATTTCGGAGAGATAGTCATTAAAACCTACTCCGTACCTAGTATCAGTCCAATATCTATTGCCTATTTATTACAGGCTGGGCACTGTCTCTTTCCTTCAAGTAGACGGACTGAGGAGTGGGTGCTTGTGTCTTATGCCAGGCAGTATTTTAAACAACTTGCCTTTGCACGGAGGAGGTCAGGGTGATGGGGAGATCCAGAAAGCCGCCTACACCTCTCAACCAGAGCTCCTGCCCTCCACCGTTCCCAGCTCAAGGCCAGGTTTCTACCTAAGAGCTTGAAATTCCTCGAACTTTCTCCTTCCTCAGAAACACGCAGTCAAAGTCAAGTAAGAGTCTCAAGAGAGCTGAAGCTAATTTAGACCCTGTACCAGCAAACACTGAATTCAATTGCAAACTGCATCCCAGAGAGTCTCCAAGGGGAGTTCAGTAGCAGACAGGGAAGCAAGGCTGGTCTCAGGCCAGAGGCCTTTAAAGAGGCTGGGCCCGGCCTATCAAAGCACAATTCATAATCAGAATCTTGGGTTTGATTTTAGAGCTGTCATCAGTTCAGAGTTGAGGATGGCTGTCTCATGGATCAGAATGACACGTCATGTAGATACGGTTGCCCCCTGACTCGTCCATGTTTCATCCTGGTACGACCTGCACATAAAATTAATTAAAAATATAAATCAAACAACATACAAACTAGCAAAACTGCTCTGCTCAGACACTGTTAAATCCCCCACACTACCACAAGCACTTTCCTTCCTAGCTTTCTTTGCATTTGAAATATTGGAGCACTGAGAAGACACTTGATTTTCTCCACTGCAGGAGAGCTGGGGCTAACATTTCTTGGGAGGAAGCTTAGTTATATTTCTGATGACCAGCAATGCCTTCTATTGTTGACCATGTATTTAGCATCAATTTTTACAAAGTGCCCATGGAATTTGGGTTCTAGATCAGTGTGCTGGGCCTAGGACATGGCTTATTTGGTAGTATTTGCCTAATATGCATGAAGCTGGGGGTTTGATCCTCGGGCTGTATAAACCAACTGGACACCACAGAGCCTGACTGTGGTGTCAGCACATAGGAGTCAGAAACAGGGAGATCAGAAGTCCACAGTAATTCTTGGAGGCCAGCTTTGCCTCTATAAAACCCTGCCCCCAAAATGGAAAGGAAGTTCCCATCCTGGGATCTACAGCAGAAGGAAAGAACCCACTCCTTAGATTAGTCCTCTGACCTTCACCATTCTCCATATTATACTCACACCTGCACACACACAAACACAAATAATGCTTAATAAAATCATTGCCACTTTTAAGGGCTCTTAAAAATGCTTTAGTTAAGATAAACAAACTGACCAGGCAGTGATGGCACACACCTTTAATCCCAGCACTCAGGAGGCTGAGGTAGGCAGATCTCTGTGAGTTGAAGGCCAGCCTAATCTATAAAGGAAGTTCCAGGACAGACAGGACTGTTGCACAGAGAAACCCTCAAACAAACAAAAACGTAAACTGAAGTCTTTTAAAGTCTGAATATAAGTAAAATTGGAACAGTATTAAAACCTAACATCAATGCCACAGAACAATAAAGGCAATGAGTGAGTCCATTAAAAATGAATTGCATTATTTGTTTATGTGTTTATATCTTGTCTGTAGAGGTTAGAGGACAGCTTACAGGGGCTGATCTCGCCTTTCATCTCCTGGGGTTCAGGGTGAACTCACATCAGCATCAGCAGTGGGTCCGTTTATCCACTGAGCCATGGTACAGCCTTATAAATATATTTTTAGGTCCAAGATGGAGCATGTGAATGTACAAATTAGTTATTCAAAAAGGAATAAAATAACCTTTCCATTGGTAGCATGCAAAGTTAGAAGCAATAATTTCACAATTAAACATTGTGTAAAAGCATGCCTAGGCTTACAAGCCAGGTGAAGGTGAGCAGACACAATTTTGGGAACAGGGCTATGCAGGGCAAGGATCTATAGGAGACCCAGAGAAGATCCGCTACATTTGTTGCCAGCTCTGGTCTCCAGGTGGTGTTCAAGGGTAAATGCAAATGCACTATAGTACAGCTGTCTGCCAGAAGTGGTTCAACATCAAAGTCATTTGAACAGCGACAACGACGAGGAAAAGTGGTGTTCTTCGCCAGCTGTGATGCTTCAGCTGGCAGCCCTAATAATCATCCTGAAGCCACGCTTACTTCATATTTGTTAAATCCGGGACTAGTACTAGGCACCATATGTACATAAACAAAGACAAAGTGTGGATGCGTTGAGCTTACAAATCTAAGTGAGGCGAGGGAAGTAGAGGGCAAACCAGGGCATGGGAAACAGCACTGAGGGCCGCTTAGAAAATGAGGCTGTTTTATTTGTATCGCTATTTCCGTCTTAACTAACAGAAGATCCATTATGTCGCAACACAAAAACGTAAAAGAAGATAGTCAAAGGAGAAAAGAACTCTGCCTTTCTGGAGATTCAAAGAGGAAATCAATGTCACTAGATACAAGGAGGAAAGCGGGAGTAAGCGGCCGAAAGAGGAAACTGAACGATGGCCAGACGCCCTAGCTTCATTTCCACGGCTGTGATAAAATACTTGACGAAAGGGAAAAGGGTTCAAATCCCAGCTTATAGTCTGTCATTGCAGGGGAGTCAAGGCAGGAACTCGAAGTGGCTACTCACGTCACAACTAAGAGCAGGGCAAAATGAATGCATCCATGCTTGGTGCCCAGTCATCCTCTCCACTTGCACAGCCCGGGTCCCAAGCCCAGGAATGGTACCACACACTTTCAACTTAATTCCACACCCATTAAGGCAGTCAAGACAACCCCCCACAAACCTGTTCACATGCCAGTCTGCTCTGCGTAGTCCCTCCTTGTGACTCACTTCCCAGGCAATTCTACATTGTGTCAAGTTGACAACTAACTAACCCCTCATCCCCCAAGAGCATGCGACAATACAGTCAGTAAAGACAACACCCTAGAATGGGATCAGAAGAAAACAGTTGTCCCGGCCTCTCAGAGGCAGACATGATGGATACTGGCTCTCTTTGGGATTTTTCATATGCTGGCATAGTAATTATCGCCTAAAAGAAATATGGTAAGTGCTGGTAAGACATTTAAAGCAGAGTTCAGTTTCACCTGATGCTTATCTCACCTAGAAGGAATGAGTCTGTGTCATCACAGCCTTTCTATAAGAATCCAGAGATAATTAAACCAAATTACAGACCAATAAAAACTCATAGCACTCCACACCCAGCCTGGCCACATGCCCACTGATGGTTCTATTGACACAAAGGCAATCGTGTTGAGGTGACTGTAGTTACAGAGTTCTGTCACGCTGCTACTGGAGAGCAAGTGTGTTTTATCAGTAGGATTAACTCATCTTTCCATGAGCATAGTCAAACACATGCCGATAAACTGGAGGTCTCTTGGGCTGGGGCACCAGACAGGTTTGAATGAAGAAGCCATCATTATCTCTGTAACCCTGAGCAAAGAACCAAACACTCTGGCCTTCATTTCCAAGCCTTTGAAAATGTGACTGACAGTATCCTTGTTGCTAGATTACTATGTGATCACTGGAACCGTCCTTTCTCCCCAGACAGGAGTTGCATTAGTCATGGAGAATCAACCCAGCCCTGAAAGTTTCTAGGAAAGATTTTAGGCTAAAAATATTATCAGCCTATCTAAGTAGCCTTACAGAACATTGAATCTAGTGAACCAAAGCGAGCTGGAGTTCATTTATTGTAAATGACTCAGTCTCAAGTGTAAATAATTTTCTGTCTGGATTAGTAGTTCCAAGCTTGGGTGATTTGTATTTCACAATGCTGAGCGTTCTCGTAGCCGGACAGAGCTGGCCATCTTCAGCAAGCCACAAATGTTTCACAAGCCAAATGAGGAAGGAGCGCTCATACCTGACATGTGAAAGCATCTCTACCTGTGTTGATGGCACTAAAATTTTTGCTTGAGTTCCTAGAAAAGAGCAAAATACTGAGTGATAAAATGAATGAAGCTCATTTTTTCAAAATTAGACTCACATTGCCCTTTTTCATAACTTTCTAAAAAACTACACTCACCAAAACAGTTTGATATCGGCAAAAAAGCAGACTAAATATGTTCAGCTCTCCTTTTGGCCAGAGCTTCTGTCTTCCAAAGTTAGTCAAACCAACAAACAATGAAGGCAAGGAGACAAGGCAGTGGGTATATGCTCTCTAGGTCGTTTGAGAAACGTAGGGGTGTTCCCTTGGCCACATCCATGCAAACCTATGCATATACGATACCAAAGAAATAAAGACAATGATTCTCTTCAAAAAGACATGCCCCATAAATGGTACCATGACAAAGATGGAAGACTCCAGTGTCACTCGGCATGCTGTTGGCACTGTTGACAACAAGCAGGTCAAGAGCAAAGTTCTCCCCAAGAACTGACACTTGTACCAGCACGCTAAACACCCTAAGAACTGAGGGGGCTTCTGACACAGGCGAAGGAAAACAGTATGAAAAGGGGAAGTCAAATATAAAAGAGCCTGGA